GTATGTGGCAGCCACAGCTTCTCTGGGCACCCTGTGCCAGGGCCTCAGCACCCTCATGGGGAAGAGCTTCTGCCCAAGAGCTCATCTCAGTCTCCCCTCTGGCAGGTTGAAGCCATTCCCCTTGGCCTGTGTCTACCTACATCCCTTGTCCAAAGCCCCTCTCCAGCTTTCTTGTCAGACCCTTTGGGATTTTGCTATCTTCCCAGCTGGGAAGGCTTCTGGCAGCAGCCAACTATGGGGAGTGTGCTTCTTGGCCACTTCCTGTGGCCCAGGCAGTCCCTCTGGAGCAGGATCCATCCCCTGCCCTGCTTCTACCTGACCAGATGAGGCCCAAGTACTTAGGAAGGCCCCATGAAAGTTGCTCCAGGACTGCACCCTGCCCTTTTCCCAGAGCTCCAGGGGTCTGGCATGTCCTTTGGGGCTGGAGAAACGCTTCTCTGAGGTGCTTGGGAGCAATGTGGGCAAGTGAATTACTGGAGGGAGCAAACGCAGGGAGGTTTCTTACACTTTGGGACCACCAGTTGTCAGTCAGTGTCAGTCCTCCACATTCTGAATGTGTGGAATTGAGGCTGTTTGTGTGTAAGTGCATGGCAGGTCCATCAGGCTGGAGGGTGCCCTGGAAGTCTTACACATACTCCTTCTGCCTGCAGAAGCCATCAGATTAGTGAAGCCAGGCTGGAAGGACATGTTGGACCCAGCACACACATCCACACTCGTGGCTGGGATTTCCAAAGCCCTGTCTAGCACCACAGGATCACCAAGGGCAGACTGCACATCATGCCAGAGATTCAGGATAGTGCAACTTGCCTCAGAGGAAAATGCTTTATATGACACAAATCAAAGCAGATTGAAACCAAATCCAAACAGCCACAGATTACTTCATGAGATGGACATCACAAAGAAGAGAGGAAGCGTGTCACAGGGTTGTGGTTTGTCAGCAGTTTCCAGTGACCATGATGCATGGGAGGCTTTGGAGGGCAGCTCCTGCAGGAGGCTGGGGCTCACTGCCATGGGCAGCACTTGCTGCAGGAGGAAGAGGCTTGGGGCAGGCCCGAGGGGCCGGTGTGGGGTTGGGCAGTGCTTTAGGTGCTTTAGAAGCCATCACTTCGCAGAGGCTGTGGCAGGTCGGAGCTGCTGATGTGGAGGCTGAGGTCTGCTGAGTTGAGGGTGGTGGATGGGGTGTGTGTGTGGTTCTCCTCCTGCACTGGGTACTCCTCACAGTGCTGCTGCTGGAGGTGCCACAGTATCTCCCTGGACAAGAAGTGGGGCTCTGCTTCTCCTGACTCTGGAACAGAAACAGACAAAACCCACCTGCACTGGTCAGTCCAAGATAGGGCAGGGAGCAGAGTTTCTACATGCACAGGATTCCCTGAGAAGTCAAAATACAGTTCTTGCTTCCCCCTTTCAGCTTGTCATGAGAAAGAAGTTAAAAGACAAAGTGCAGGAAGGAGAGTGAAATACAGGCACCATGTTGTGATGGGAACTGCCTTGCTGGATATAAATGCTTCTCTCCATCAGGGAGGGAGCTGAATTTCCTTTGGAAAACAATGAGGTTCACTTCAGCAAGAAGCACAAAGCTGTTGTCAAGCCCTGCTGCTCTGGAGCTGTGGAGAAGGGAAATGAAAGGAAGATGGGAAGAAGGGAAAACCTTGCTCCTGGACTCCTGGAATCATAGAATCCCAGACTGGTTTGTGTTGGAAGGGACTTTAAAGCTCATCCAGTCCCAACCCCTGCCATGGGCAGGGACACCTTCCACTAGAGCAGGTTGCTCCAAGCCCCTGTGTCCAACCTGGCCTTCAACACTGCCAGGGCTGGGGCAGCCACAGCTTCTCTGGGCACCCTGTGCCAGCGCCTCAGCACCCTCACAGGGAAGAACTTCTGCCTCAGAGCTCATCTCAATCTCCCCTCTGGCAGGTTAAAGCCATTCCCCTTGGCCTGTGTCTACCTACATCCCTTGTCCAAAGCCCCTCTCCAGGTTTCCTGGAGCCTCTTTAGGCACTGGAGCTGCTCTAAGGTCTCCCCTTCAGGAGCCTTCTCTTCTCTAGGCTGACCCAGCCCAGCTCTCTCAGCCTGGCTCCACAGCAGAGCTACTCCATCCCTGGCAGCAGCTCCAAGGCCTGCTTCCCCTTGTTTGCCCTGCTCTGAGGTCTCTCAAGGGCTGGGAGAGCACGGCCACCATGTGGGCACCCTCCTGCCTCCTCACTCACCCTCATATGCAATGAGTCGGTAGGTACCCGCGCACTCCTTGGAGCCTTTCAGGATCTCCTCCAAGGTCCTGTAGAAAAGCTTGGCCTGCTCTAGGCGGTCCTCCCGGCTGAAGGCAGCACACTCATCCTGGGACATGGCGTAGAGGGACTGCAGCGGGGTGGCATATTCCACTGCACAGTGCCAGAGCTGCAGGGAAGGAAGAAAAAGACATGAGGGCAGGAGAACTGAGCACCCAGCAAAGGGCTGCCAGGGGACCTGGGTGCTGGGCAGAGCCTTCAGACCCCTCAGCAGCTCCATGCCGTGCCCTGCCCTGCCCTGCGGCTGTGTGGTGACTGCAGGGAGATTGGGATGAGCTCTTAGGCAGAAGCTCTTCCCTGTGAGGGTGCTGAGGTGCTGGCACAGGGTGCCCAGAGAAGCTGTGGCTGGGCCCGCCCCGTCAGTGTTCAAGGCCAGGTTGGACACAGGGGCTTGGAGCAACCTGCTCTAGTGGAAGGTGTCCCTGCCCATGGCAGGGGTTGGAGCTGGATGATCACACCTCCTCTGTGGCTTCTCTGCTGGACAAGTGGAAGTCTGAGCATCCTAATGGGGCACAGGAGAATGGAGAGGAGGATAAACACTGGCAAGATGAATGCAAAGCTAGAAGGAGGCTGATCAAACAAATGAGATTTGTTAAAGCTGTAAGAATTCCAAGGAGGAGCTGGGTTGTCATTAAGTCTTATACTGGGTAAACTGGCAAGTTTAATAAAGCATTAGAAGGAAGAGGGATGGGACCCCTGGGTAAATAGCAGTAAGAGCTTCCAGCTTTGGGAGGCAGATGCCCCAGTGACCCAGTGCTGGTGCCAAGGGATGGGTTTTACTGACAGCACACAGTGAGTCAGGACAGGTCCAGGCTGCAGAGCTGCTGGAGCTCTCCTGGAGCCGAGTGACTCACCAGGAGGCTGGCGGATGGAACCTCAGTGCGTGCCCGATGCTGACCGCACTTTCCCAGAAGCGGGGCCAGGAAAGAGGCTCTGGAGCCCCTCCAGGCGGCAGCTCAGTGCTCAGGCACAAGGAAAGGCCAGCTATGGGGACCCAAGTGGGAAGCATCGCTCTGCCAACACCACCATCCATGGCTGTGTCAGCAGAAGCAGCGTGTTCCCTCCTCCACAGAGGCCCAACTGCCTGGAGGTGTGGAAGGAGATGAGCACAGTGTGAGATGGAGGGATTTAGGGCTCATCAGCCTGGAAAAGAGGTGACTGGTGCATTGGGAGGGAGTCAAATGATGTAATGACTCACAGAGACATTTTCAAGCACCTCTTCACAACAAAAATATTCACTTGTCCCATGGGAAGTGATGCTCTGTACCCCACAGCTGCTGCTTTCTGCTCAGGTCTCTGCTGCTTTCTGGACTCATATCAGCTCCAGGAGGGGTTAAATGAGCCCAACATCCCTGCAAGGGCTGAGCCTGGGAGGAGGCAGCCAGCAGAAAGGTGTGCAGATGGCCTTCATTGACCAGGACCTCTCCATCTCATGGAAGCCTGCTGAAAGCTGGGTGTATCTAAGGGGAGAGGGGACACTGTCCTGCCCTTATGGCCACTTCTGGACCAGGGTCTGAGGTTGGGAGGACCTTTGGGCTGATGCATGCTGACCACTGGCCCGACGCTGCACTCTACCTTGTTATCTTCATCCCTGATGGCATAGAGGCTGTGTTTGTAGACCCTGTTTTTGGTGCCAGCACGGGTCAGAGTGGTTTCAGTGAGGTCTGTCAGGTACTGGATATTGCTGTCAGCTTTCTCCAGGTCATCACAGACATCACAGCTCAGAGGGACCAAGATGTGGAGCTTCCAGGTCTCCTTGCATGACAGCACACTGGGGTTGGCTCTACTGAATTCCTCCATTGACTTTGGCAGCCCTGGTGGACGAGAGCATGGGGCAGAGGGGCCTGGTGTGAGTCCAGCTGCTTTCTACCTTGCTCCCCATTTCCCTGCTAACACTGTAAAAGTGGGAGGATTGTTATTAAGAGCTATTTCTGTCTCTAGGCAGATAATGCAGGGAAACAGCTACGTACGTGGCAGGACTATTTTTAGGTACCCAACATAATAAGACCAGGCAAGTCCATGGGCAACGTTCTGCTTGGACCTCTCGGACATCTCGGACACTTCCACTGCTGAGGGCTCCTGCAGAGGGAACAAAGACAGAGCAGGGGTGGTGAAAGCAGCATCTGGGCTCTTCTGCAGCGCTCGGTTCTCTGCAGGGACTGGGGGCAAAATGATCTGGAGGTGAGCTCCCTGCTGCCCCTTCCACCACCACAGCCCCTGCAGATGAGGAAGCTGGTGCTGGGGTGAGCAGGGCACACTCTTGGCTGCACGCTCCATAGGGATTGTGTGTCCCAGTGCAACTTATGGCTCTGCCCAGTGCTTCCAGCGTGTGGGAGGGGACATTCCACTGCCTGATGGTTGGGTTTCCAGGGCCACCAGTGACTCCTGTGTGTTCACAGGGTGGTGAGAACACCACGAGCCAGCTCTGTGTGTTCATTAGGGAGCTGAAGTGCTGGCACAGGGTGCCCAGAGAAGCTGTGGCTGCCCCATCCCTGGCAGTGTTCAAGGCCAGGTTGGACACAAGGGCTTGGAGCAACCTGCTCTAGTGGAAGGTGTCCCTGCCCGTGGCAGGGGTTGGAACTGGAGGAGCTTTAAGGTCGCTTCCAACCCAAACCAGTCTGGAATTCCACGAGTCTATGATTTAGGTGGAAATGGGTGTTCAGTCCCTGTTCCTATAGCCTGCATGATCCCTCTCCGCATCCAGCTCAGCTGGGGGAAAGCAGAGCCCTGGAGTGCAGAGGCACCTGGAGCTTGGCTCTGCCGGCACCCCACCCCTGTAGTGAACCCCTGGGACACCACTCAGCCACCCTTTCCTAAAGCTCCAGCTTGACTGACACATTTGAAAATACCTGGGTTTTTGTGTCAGTGGGGCTCTGGCTGCGTGAGGGCTGCTGCCAGCACCCTGGCGGGACTGTGCTCATCCAAAGGCAGGCTGGCAGCTCCTGCCTACAGCACGGCAGCATGGGGTTGAGACCACTGATGAGAGTGTTGGTCCTGCTGCGGGGCAGGATGCGGATGGGCTGCATGTGCAGGGGCCATGTGGACCCAGGCCTCGTGCCCCCCCCCACTGCTTAGGGCTGAAGTGCTCCCCCGGTAGGCAGCCAGGTCAGAGGTGTTGGTGCCTTACGTGGAGCCCCAGGGTGAGGCTTAGGAGCTGGCACAGGGCGGCCAGGCCAAGGTGGAGGCCAAGCTTCTGCCTGTCTTCATCGAGAAGAGCCACGTAGGCCGAGGCGCAGAGGAGCAGCGCAAGGAGCAGTGCAGGCCCATGCCAGCGCAGTGGGAAGCAGGCACTCAGTGCCCTCCAGAAGCTGCCGCGGTGCCTGCAGGGGACAGGAGACAGGAGCCATCTGCAGCACATGGAACACTGGCCAGGGCATGCTCCCACCTCCTGGCCAGTGCTGATAACTTCTAGAGCCCTGTGGGACCCTGCTCAGTGCACCCCGGCTGCCTCCTGGGATTAGGTCACTTGCAGCACCCACGGGTGTCAGAGGGGAGCAGAGGCAGTGTCACACAGGACAGCAAGGGCAGACTATCTCCAACTCCATGCCCGCCAGTACGGGGTGGTGGGAAGAGGCTGGGGGCTGAGGTCTGTTATGCAGGGAAAGGGTGGATTGAGAGTCTACCAGGAAAGGGGAGGAGAAGAGAGAAAAAGAGAGGAGAGGTCCATAGACATCCAGAGGAGCTGGGAAGGCAGGAGAGGGGGAGAGAAGGAAAGGGTGGAAGAGATGGGAGAGATGGGAAGCTGATGGAGAGCAGTGTGTGCTGCTGGGGCACAGCAGAGTGTTGCCGCAGAGGGAACAAGCGGGAGTAGAGGAGCAGATCCCCCCTCAACACCCAGAGGCTGCTATGTCCTTGTCCCCAGGGTGGCCCAGAAGCCTGGGATACAGCACGGCCAGGCTGTCTCACCTGGACTGGAGGTGGAAGATCTCCTCCGCCAGGTAGCAGGTGCCCTTGAGCAGCACCCCAATCTGCAGGGCCAGAAAGTGGAAGGTGAGGCTGCGGGCGGTGTCCATGAGGGGCTCCCCGGCGAGGTACAGCGCTGCGGCACACACAGCCAGGAGCAGGTACACGGCGCGCTGTGCTCGGCCTCCCCGTGCCCTGGGGATGAGCAGGGTGCTGGGGCGGTGCGGCCGCCACGGTCCCTGAGACATCTGCGGCAGAGAGCAGGGGTCAGAAGCACCCACGTGGGGAGTGGAGAAGGGGAACACATGCACATCCAGTGCTCGCTGAGCACCCCGAAGCTTGCAACAGAGCCCTCTGCACACTGCTGAAATGCAGTTGCTTCTGGGGAGGTTCCCTTGTGCGCTGCCCAGGGCTCCCCACTGTGCCCAAATGGGCTTGGCAAGCAGGACCTGGGTGGTCACCCCACTCCCAGATCCCAGCCTCACGCCAGCCCTTCCTGCTTTGCAGCCACAGGGCCTGGAGGAGCAGTGAGTGCTCCCGGTTGTACTCACCGCAGCCGCTACCAGCTGCTGCCAGGGCTTCTGCACCGTGGTTGATGGGCTCAGTGCTCCAGCCTGGGCGGCTGCTGCTGCACACAAAGACCTGGAGCACTTTAACAGGCTCCGGGTGCCCCGGGTGGAGCTGCACTTCCCAGCATCAAGGAAAATGAAAATGAAAGGAGCAATCATGACTGCAGAGAGGAGCAAAGCCCTCCCACATGCAGCACGCAGGAAGCCCAGGCACTGGGCAGCACTGGTGCGTGTGGCAGGTTTCATATGTGACTTTTGGGAAGCCCTGATTTACCCATCAGGTCACAGTGGGGCTGAGCCAACCTGCAGTGAGGAAGGAGACAAGAATTTATTGAGGTTTAATTTACTGAGTGCAGAAGGTTTCCAGGGCTGAAACAGAAGCAAATTCCTTCTAACAGAGAAGGGACTCACAGCACATACACAGTGAAGTCCCCTTCACCCAACACAGCTCCGGGAGATACTGACTCAGGAGGCAGTGCCCATGGACTCTGCAACACATGGACAACTGCTGCTGGGCTCTTGCTGGTCAATAAGGCCCTCCAGCCTCTCTGGTGCCTGGTTCTGCTGGCAGATCTCCTTTAGGGTAACAGCACAAGAGGGACGTGGAGCTGTTTGGGCAAGTCCAGAGGAGGCCATGGAGCTGCTGCGAGGGCTGGAGCAGCTCTGCTCTGAAGCCTGCTGCTCCTGGAGGGAACACCAACCAGCAAGGGGAAAAGTGGCTTCTCTGTGTTTGAAAGACACAAAGGTTTAGCAGCTCTGGAGGCAGGAAAGGGGTGCAGGTCCTCTGCTGTTCCCCAAGAGGCAGAGCTTTGTTCTCCCTAACCCTTCACTTTCTCCACTCCAGGTCTGTTGTTCTGAGAGTGTTTCTCTTTGAAGCTTTGACGTGTGTGCCCAACACCAGTTAAAGTGTGGAATTTTTCCTTTTCCAGCTGTGTTTTACCTCCCTTAGCTTTATTCACCTTCTAACAAAGGCCTCACTGGTTGCCAAAGCCTAGGAACACGAGATGTAGCCAGCGAGGCCAGGCAGTTTGCACTCCTTTGAGTTCTTGAGCTTTGCCTAAGCATGTCTAAGTCTTCTTTCCTCATAGAGCACTGCAAGATGCCCCTGTGGAGCAGAGCTGCTCAGAGGAAGATGGTGAAGGAAAGACAGATGGAGCCATCTGAGGATAAGGCAGGACTCAGCTAACTCCTCCAGCAGTGTTTTGCTGGTTTGTAGTGGGTGATGCTGGCACAGGATGATGATGGCAGGCACAGAGAGCAGATCACTCAGGGCTGCTCTCTGGAACAGGAGCTACAGGCACAGCTGAGGACAAAACACCCCACAATGCCCTGGCTCTTCAGCTTGAGAGGGTGAAAGCAGAGCTGCAGGGGAAATGCCTCCTGAAATGGCATTTTAGGTGCTGTGTGAGGGGCCAGCAGCCACCAGCATGGAGAGGCAGCCCCTGCCTAAGCAAGGAGTGCTTTGTCCACAGCAGGAGCTGCTATGGATGGGGACCAGCCAGGAATTCTCACAGCAGATGTGGCCCAGAGCATCTTCTCTGCTGCTGGGGAGCAGAACTAATCCTGTTGGAGAAGAGGACCAGGATATAAGCTCATGTGGGGTACAGAAGAGTGCATATGGGTCAATTGCACTGTTTGGGAAGGGGTGGGAAGAGACTGAAATCTGCAGAACATGTGGAAAAGTCTGAGGTGAGGTGGAAGAGAAGCAGGGATGAAAGCAGCAGGTAGGACAAGGGTGTCCTAACAAGAGAAAGTAGGAAATGAGAGGAATAGGGCAAGGGAAATGGCTTTAACCTGCCAGAAGGGAGATTAAGATGAGCTCTTAGGCAGAAGCTCTTCCCTGTGAGGGTGCTGAGGCGCTGACACAGGGAAGGTGTCCCTGCCCGTGGCAGGGGGGTGGAACTGGTCCCTTCCAACCCAAACCAGTCTAATTGTGCCCTTCCACCCAAAACCAGTCTGGGATTCTGGGATTCTATGAAAACCTTGGAAGAAAAGCAGTTTTGTCTCTGCCTCAGGACTGGGGGAGCCGTAAAGCCAGGAGTACTTGGGATTAGTGTTATTTGAGCATTTCCAGCTCCCCATACTGGTGGATACTGGTGCAGCAGGGAAGGACAGCAGGCTTCCTTGTGGTTGTTGCCTGCTCTTCTGCAACCAAGGGGTGTCCAGCGACTCAAAAGCTGACAAAAAGGAGGGGAAAAAAGCAAGGAAGCACAAAATGAATCCAAGGAGTTGAAGCACACACCAACACAAATCCTCGATCCTATGAATCAGTGATTTATTCTCTGCATACCAAGTGTGAAGGAGGACAGAGAAATTAACTCAAAACACACCCTATCCTAAAGCCACCAGCCTCTCAAGCCTCCTGTTTCAGCCTTTCATCCCTCTCTGCCAAGAGATGCACAAGAGATGCAGGATTGACAAGAACAGTGGAAAACAACTCTGCTGCAGTACCAGGTGAGAAGACAGGCAATAACAGAGAAACAGCACAATCCACTAAAAATGTTAGTTACACACGAGGCAAATCCATAGGAAACAAGGCTTTCCCATAAAGGAACTAAACCTGATGTGTTCTTGGGAAGCCCTATCTTCCAATGCTGATGAAAAATGCTCCTGGCATTTTCCTTACTCGCGCTGGTAGCAGGACTGCCCAACTTGGAAGCAGCTGGAAGCCCACCACAAGCCCAGGACAGAGGGCAAGCATCCAGTCCCGTGATCCATCTCATGATCCAAAGCTGGTGATGGGAAGAGAAGCAGGAGCAACAGAAAAGACCCTCATTTGATGTAGAGTTGAAAACATCTCTCTATTACAAGATGCCCCACAGGTGTGTTCATGCAGGCAGTGTGGTTGTTAGGCTGAACGACCCTGTCTGACTGCACGCACTCCTTGTTTCAAGCAGCATGCTGTTCCCAGCCTCCTTCCTCCTGCTCCCTGCCTCCTTCAGTGGTTTCTGTGATTGGCACCTGAAGGGAAGCTGCCCTTTTCTCTGAGCTGGCTGTTGTTGGCAGTTACCCATCACACTTTGATAGTGCACTTACACAAACAGGACGTGGTTACAGAGCTCAGAACCTCACTGAAGCTGCGCAGAAGCCCTTGGCTTGTTGGTACCCATCAGGATTACCACTGCATGAACCTGGTTTGACATGAGCTGCTCAGTCACCTGAGAACAGTTGTTGTTTTTGCCTGTGTTGGTGTTCTCCATGTGGATGCTGGATGGAAATGAGCCTTTCTTCCCCCTCTGCCCACCACAGCTATTGCTGCTGCCGGGTAGCCTTCACCTCCCTCCATGCTGCCTGATGGGTACCAAGCATCATATTCTTGGCTCCACACTGTGGCACTGGAGATCCTTCATTATTTAAACTTGTGTGATGGTTTAAGCTTTATTACACAGCCACATCTGTCTATTAATAAACACATGGCCTACTTGGTGTGCTTTGACCGTGTGTCCCCCCAGACCTAAAAATGAATTCATCAAATCATACAACCCCAGCGTGGTTTGGCTGTGAAGGGACCTTTAAGCTCATCCAGTTCCAATCCCC